AGGCCTGGTACCCCCAGCTTCCGGGTCTTGGTCCCCCCCCAAGTTCCCGGGGCCCGGTGCCCTACCCAGCTTCTAACCTGGTGCACCCCCCTTCAGCTTCCCAGCCCAGTCCCCCCAGCACCTGGATGGGGTTCCCCCAAGCGCTCGGGCCCAGCGCCCCCCACTCCAGCTCCCCGGTCCTGTACCCCTCTCCGGCTCCGGGCCGCCTCCCCACACACTGAGCCAGGCCGGGCGGTAGGTGGTCTTGGCCTGCTTCTGGGCGCTAAAGGAGCCCCGGCGGTCACCCCTTGCTCTAGGGCTGCTTGGGGGTGGGGGAGCCTAAACTGGGGGAGCAATCCGAGGCGCACCCCTCCCGGAAGAGCGCGGCCCTGGGGAAGGAAGCTGAGGATCTAGGGGTGAGGATCCCACGGAATATTACGGGCGTTAGGAGACGCCCCTCCCCCAAGGAGACTTTGCAGAGAGGCAACCCCCAGGCGGTTGGAGCTTTTCCGATGTGCACCCCCTCCCTGGGCGCTTTGGAGGGGAGGTAGAGGGCGCACCCTGCCCCCAATCAAGGGCAGGCCTTAAAACGCACCCCACAGCCTATGGGGCGAGGGGGGGCCAACACGCGGCTCCGGGCGCACCCACCCCCTCGGCTTTTCCCGGGAAAGGCGGGGGCAGGAAACGGGGGCGGGGGCCGCTCCAGAGGCTGTAAACACGGGCCCAGGAAGTGGAGCACGAGGGGGGCGCTGCAGCCGCGGCGCTGCCGCCTCCTGGCCACCCTGGGGAGGAGGAACGGCCTGGCCCTCCTGGCCCTGACCCGCCGCCCCCACCCGACAGGGCTCGTCGCACCTACCCCAGCAACTCAAATTCACCACCTCCGATTCCTGCGACCGCATCAAGGACGAGTTTCAGCTGCTGCAGGCCCAATACCACAGGTGAGCTGGGGCTGGGGGTCTCTGGAGAGGAGGCTGCCACCCCTCATATACATGGATTTTAAAAAATGTACTTACAGAGAGTCATATCATGGGCCAGTTCTAGATTAAGCACTTGGTGGATCATCACTCCTTTATTCTTCAAAGCTGTCCCATTTCATGGATGAGAAAAGCGAGGGGGAATAACTGAATGACTTACCCAAAGATGCAGCTGTCTGCCTTCAGATATCACCCCCCAAACCTCAATAGATAAAGATCTCTGGTGGCTTTGAACCGCCAGCCTTCTGATTAGCAGTCAGATGTCTTAGGCACTATGCCACCAGAGCTCCCAAAAGATCTTTGAGCAACTGGAATTAGGGGACAGACCAAAGACTCCTGCCAAAAAAAAAATTTTTTTGCTATCTCTCTGCCCAGTTTTGGAGAGAACTTTTCTGGCATCCAACAGTCTCAAAGGAAGTTCTCTCTCCTGAATGTAATCTTGTGTGGTGGGCCAGGTTTAAGCAGAAGGAACTGTTACTGACTTTGTTTTATACATCAGGAAAGTGAGGCTCAGAGAGGTTAGGTGTTGCTTTGAGGATGCACAGCGAGGAAGGGACGAAATAGATTTGAATCCAATCTCTCCAGGTCTAAAAATGCAGATAGTCAACCCTTGGCTGTGGAGGGGTCCTCACCCGGGGGTCAGAAGGGGTCCCAGGACCAGAAATCCCAATAGAGCCTTAGACCTTCCCTGAACCTGTTTCCCCACTTCAGAACTGCTTTCTGGAGGAGCCTGAGTTTCCTTCAGGAAAAAGGGGGAATATCTATTTATTTGTTTTTTAACAAATACGCAGTCTTTTTGGGTACTCCCCATGTGCTAAATATGGAACATACATTTTCTTGTTCCACCCTTCCTGTTGTCCTGTTATTGTACCCATTTTAGAGATGAGGAAACTGAGGCACAGGGAGTTGGAGGGCCTGAAGCCAACTCGGCAGGCAGGCCCCAGGGACTTGGCACTAGTCCTGTGATGTGGAGGGTTTAGGGGCTTCACCTGACCCATGCCCACCTCATGGTGATCAGTCCCGAGAATCAAAGGACAAGTTGGACCCCCCTCTAAGCTTTGGGCTCACTGTCTGCTGGGTCTGGATGCTCTGCTGCCCTTTGGGGGCTTCTGCCATTCTGGCACACCCCAGATTGGCCAGGCAGCATGGGTCCTTCCTCAAGAAGGGCCAGAGATCCAGGATTTGGGGTAAAACTTTTTTTTTTCCTTTTTTTTTTACTGTTGGCAACACATGCACATTTTTAAAGAAAATAAACTTCGATGGGGGCTAAGAAACCCCAGCTGTATACCGCCCCTGACTGTGGGATGTCGTGACCTGGGGTAATTCGGGGGGTAACAGTAGGATCCACAGGTACTTGTGGGTGCCAGGCCCTGTTGTCTGAGCTTTACTGTCTAAATGTATTGAATCCTTACCACCTCACTGTGGGAGGTTGGTATTTAACAGAGAGGGGGAGGAATTTGCTCAGGGCCACACAGCATGGAAGGACTGAGCTCTGAATCCATGGCTCTCATACCATGAGGATTGGCTGAGGTGGGTGTAGAGGAACAGCCAGTCTGTGGGGACCCCCTGCTTGGTTTGACTTAAAATAGGTTACCTCCTAATCCTTTTCGTGGGTGGTTGGCTCCACTGCCAGCTCCTTCCTGCCCCAACGCCCTTGTGGGGGCTTTGAGAAAGCTTCAATGCAGATTGACTGGGGAGCCACGGAGAGAACAGAGGGTCTGGGTCTGTAGTCCTTGTAAGGAAAGCAAGAGGGAGGGAGGAATGGAAAGGTCTAAGGGCTGGGAGCTGGTCCATTTGACACTTCTGGCAAATCCAGGCTCACAGAGACAAGGTGCTTAGGCCACTTCCAAGATTCCCAAGTTCATCCCAGCCCTCAGCCTTGTCCTCAGCCCCATGCTGTTTCTATTTTTTTCTTCTTGCCTCCTGCTGTGTGACCTTGAGCCAGTTGCTTACCCTCTCTGAGCGTCCATTACCTCATCCATCCATTACATCATCCATCAGAGTGAAGACACTACCACTGACCCCACTGAGTGACCATGTAGAAGATTCTAGAATCCCTGTCTGACCCAGCATCAGTGCCTTTGATCTGATATCTGTTTTTTTGTTATCCTTTTTTTTTTTGTTTTTAAAAAAACTTTTTATTGTGATGTGGGTAAAAGTTTACCATGCAAATTGGTTAACCATTCAAGGATTTGTACACGTTTTGATTCATTGTCATCGGTTTTCTGTTGCCAGGCCTGGAGGGCTGGTTTCATCACCCCCATTTCACAGTAGGGAAGTTGAGGCTCACATGGCTCCTCCCCAGGCATCACAGGGACCTTGAATGTTGTCAGCTCCCCTTCCCATCACCTCCCCGTCCCTTAAGTCCACCTGGACATGGATTCACCTTCCAGGAACGGGCCCAGCTTGCCTTTGCCTGGGACTTGGGGAACGCTTTACCTTCTCCTCGGAGCCTCAGTTTCCCCTCCTGCACTATGGGGGAAGCTAACATGGATCCCCACCCACTCTCCCCTGTCCTTTCTCAGCCTGAAGCTCGAATGTGACAAGCTGGCCAGTGAAAAGTCGGAGATGCAGCGTCACTATGTGATGGTAATGTCGCCCCAGCCCCTGGGCCTGGTGTGCTGGGGGTGGGGGGAATGAGGGACCCCTGATCGGCTGCCGCTTCTGCCACAGGCAGCTCCTACTGTGGAAACCACAGCCGCCACCTCTGGGAGGATTCAGGGTCTGTCCGTTCTCTGCTCGGCTGCCCCTGCTGGGCTGAGCCCACTGCTCTGGCCTGGCCACTGGCCAAGGCAGTGACCAAAGTGCCAAACTGTCCGGTTGCAGTCTGGCCTGCCAGGTTCCCGGGCTGTCCTTGGCAAGAGCCACCAGCCTGGTGGTAAGAGCCAGGAACTGACATGAAGGAACTGCAGGATCCTTCCCGCCCACGGCCTGGCCATCCCAACGCTTAACCCTTCCATGCCCGAGCTTTCAAGAGGGCCAGAACTGAGCCCCCCTCCTCCCCCTGCCTCCTTAAACCCTGCTTATTAGGGGTTGTAGCCTGTTGTTTGCAGCCCTGCCCTTCCAGGCTGCCAGAACCACTTGCTCAGATTAATACCTAGCAGGTGGAGTTTCATGTGAGAATCTCGCCACTTTGTTTCACCCTGTGCCCAGCAGTGCTGGAGTCTCGAAAGAGTACACAGCCCAGACTGTCCTGGCTGTAGGGGAGACAGAAGCAGACAGAGGGGAACCCCAGACTAGGGGAGCTCAGAGCAGGATGCTCCCTGAGATAGAAACCCAGAAGTCTGCGTAGAAGATGGGGCATTGCAGCTAGGGTATTGAAGAATGAGTAGGAGCTTGCTAGGCACAGGTGCTTGAAAATGAACTTGTTCTTGTGGAGGGGGGTGGTCATAGGGAGCCATGGGTGGGTTTAGAGCAGAGGAATGGCAGGGTCAGATCTGGGGCGTGGGGAAGGGGGCTGCTGGCCCAAGAACCAGGCCCCAGCAGGCTTTGTTTATCCTTGATTATTTATACCCAGGGAGGCCAACTTTCCGGAGTCTGAGGCCACCCGCAGACAAGACACATAAAGATAAAAGATTAGGACCCAGGGAATGGGGGGAGGAGAGGGGTCACCATAATTAGTCCAGGAACCAGGGGAGCCAGGCTGGGGTTGATACCTAACGCCCCCCAGCTCCCCGTCAGCCCCAGTAGGTACAGGGATCCCTGCCCCTCTCATGCACTGTTTCTGTCTCCCCCGCTCCTTTCTCTGTCTCCTCTCTCCCTCTGTCTGTCTGTCTTGTGCCGGCCCTCTGTTTTGCTGTCTCTCCCTGCTTGTTTCACTGTCTCTGCCTCGCGGCCTCTCTCTGTCTTGCTGTCTCTCTTTTTCACTGTCTCTCCTTGTCTCCTCCATCTGTCCTGTCTCTGCCTGTGTCTGTCTGGTTCTGCCTGTCCCTCTCTTCTTGCTGGCGCTGACAATTGCTGTCACTGTCCACCCCCACCACCCCCGTCTCTCAATGCCCCCACTCTCCCGCCTGTCACCCCCACGCAGTACTACGAGATGTCCTACGGCTTGAACATTGAGATGCACAAGCAGGTATGCCCCCCGTTGGCCTCTCCTCCTCTCCTTCCCTCCCAGCCCCCCCAGGCAGGTAGACTCCTGCTGCTTGGCTGAGCCCCAAGTCCGCCCTGTTATCCTGTTACCATCCTGTTACCGTCGCAGCCCTCCCCCACACTCTTCTGTAGTCTCCCAGCCTCCTGGGGAGTTTTTCTCCCTGGCTGAGGCCCCCCCATCTCTCCTTTGTGACTATGAGGGGAGATGACTTGTGTGCCAACACACTGCATGACCCTCAGAAACCCCTCACCCCAACCCCTCCCCGGCCTGACTTTTACTGTCCATGCCCCCGACTGGGCTGATGTTGGTGATGGCCATAGAACCGTCATGCAACAGCCCCACCCCCTCTTCTTTCCCTCCCACGGAGCACTCACCACCTACCACCTATTGGGCACTGGCTCCGGGGGGGTCCCCCAGCAGCTGAGCCTGGCTTTGGCCCAGCACCCTTGCCCCTGACTGTGGCTTGGGCTGGGCGGGCTCTGCTGACTGGCTCCCTGGGCCACACTGAAGTCACTGTGTTCTAGGCCGAGATTGTGAAGAGACTGAATGGGATCTGTGCCCAAGTCCTGCCCTACCTGTCCCAGGAGGTACATGGGGCTGTCTGGGGGTCTGGGGGAGGAGCGGCAGAGGGGCCCATCTGGGGCCACCTGGCCCTGTGATTGTGGAAGACTCCCCAGGCTGGGGGACCAACAGCAGGCCTGTGTGCAGGTGCTGGAGGGAGGGGCTCACCCTGCTGTGTGGAATTCCCAGCCCCAGTGAGTCATTTTCCGGTGAAAAATGTCAGATATGCCAGGACTGCACCAAGGGAATTTTCCCCTCCCCTCTTCTGCCTTTTACCCTTCTGAGCCTCAGAACACCTCAGGCCAGGGACAAGGGGGTACTGTGGCCCACATGTGCACACAGACACACACAGCTACAATCACACACATGAAGAGATACAGCCACATAGATGCACAGAGACACATACGCACAGAGGCAGATACACACGCAGACACACACATGCACACGGGTACAGACAGACACGTGGGTACAGACACACGGCTGCATACACGAGCACACAGCTTCACATGCAGATACACGCTTGGGTAGAAACAGACGTACAGAGAGATGCACACACAGCTAGGCATGGCAACATACATTGGCACACAGACACATATACTCACAGACATAGACACCCACACAGACATACACAGACACACAATCAGATCAGTGCACCTGCAAGTACATAGACAGACAGAAGTGTACACAGCTGTGCACACACAGACAAGTGTACATATAGACAGACATGCTGGCACATGCCTGCACACAGACATAGGCTGACACGGATGCACCCCAACATGCACACTAGGTGCAGAAGTGCACACGTGTGTGCGTGCACACACCCAGGGGAGCCAGGCACCTCGCTCTTCCCCTTCCTCCCCCCACCCGAGACACTTCCTTTCAAAAATTCTTAGTCTTTTGTTGCTGAGAATACACACAGTGGCACGTACTCCAGTTCAGGTTTCTCCCCGTGCCGTTCAGGCCACTGGGGACCGTTGTGCAGCCATCATCACCCACCTTTTCTGAGTTGTTCCTCCCCCGTGAACATGAATTCACTGCCCCTAAGCTTCCTGTCGAACCTTTCGAGTTGCTGTTGTCAGTTTGATCCCATAGAGAGTTTTCAAAGGAGCCCAGCACTTAAGGCAGCCAGTCTTTACTAGTTAAGATGAACAGTGTTTGACTGTAAGAAGACTTCAGGGGACATTCTTTGGTTCAAGGTTTAGTCTCTGAGACTCTTGGTGTGTGACCTCTCCACCCTACCCCAGGCAACCTCAGGCCAAAAAAGGCCCAAGTCCTGTTCTCCTATACCCAAACAAAACCGTGAAGTCCAATTCTGACTCATAGTGATCCTGTAGGACACAGTAGAAGTGGCCCATAGGGTTTTCAAGGCTTTAATCTTCACGGAAGCAGACGGTCTCATCTTTCTCCCACACAGTGGCTGGTGGTTTCAAACCTCCAACCTTTCAGTTAGCAGCCAACCCCTTAATCACTGTGCCACCAGGGTTCCTTCTCCTGCTCCCAGCTGGTCGATAATTTATCATTTCCTCTTTAATCTCTGTTCACACCCCCGAGTCCTTCAGATGAAGTACTGTATAATAAAATGTCCTGGACAACAATTCCCCGGGCACACAAGGACACAGTGAAAGCCCCAGAGAAAAGGGGCACTCAGGGCATTTGCCTGTTAAGCAAAAGGTCCATGGTTCAAACCCAGCAGCTGCTCTGGGGAAGAAAGATAGAGCAACCTGCTTCTGTAAAGATTTACAGCCTTGTAAACCCAGTGGGGTCACTATGGGTCGGAATCGACATGATGGCAGTGAGTTTGGTTTGCTTTAGATTTTTGTTTGGAGCCCTGCTTTCCTTTCTTGGTGGGGGCTTCCTGGCAGTCAAGGCAAAAAGGGAGACTGGTAGATTCTGGTATCTGATAGCAGGAGAGAGAGACAGACTCTAGGGACATCTGTGGGGGGAAATGCCTTGAACCTAGACTCAGGAGACCTGGGTTTTCAGCCCTCCCAGAATCCACTGGGCCTTCCCCAGCTGTGGAGGGAGAGGGACTCCAGTCATCGTATCGCAGCACACGATCTCCAAGCTTTGGGGATCAGGACTGCCCTGTACAGTTGGGCAGGTTGCACACTGCACAAAGTCCCCTGCCTTTTTCTTCTTCACACACGGCACAGTGTTTCTCTTGGAATCACACCAAAGCGTCATCCTAAGTCCCTGCCACCAATTCCTTTAGGTTTTCCATGTATCTCGTATTTGTCACCATGTTTTAGGTGAAGAGACTAAGGCTTGGGGAAAGGCTGGAGAGAGGGGACTTTCTGGTGTCGTGGGGTGGCCTAATGGTCCAGCTGGGCGTGGGGTTTCTCCTGGATTTTGTGGGCACCCCCCAGGATGGAGGCATTATCACCTGACTCCTCTGTCCACCCCACCCCTCTCTTTCCAGCACCAACAGCAAGTCTTGGGGGCCATCGAGAGAGCTAAGCAGGTCACAGCTCCTGAACTGAATTCCATCATCCGAGTAGGTCCTGGGCCTGGGGCTGGCGGGTAGGCAGGGTGGGTGGGCCCCGAGCCAGTGACAGCTGACACACCCCCTTCCTCGTCCCTGCAGCAGCAGCTCCAAGCCCACCAGCTGTCCCAGCTGCAGGCCCTGGCCCTGCCCCTGACCCCACTGCCCGTGGGGCTGCAGCCGCCTTCGCTGCCAGCCGTCAGCGCAGGCACGGGCCTCCTCTCACTGTCGGCGCTGGGCTCCCAGGCCCACCTCTCCAAGGAAGACAAGAATGGGCATGACGGTGACACCCATCAGGAGGATGACGGGGAGAAGTCGGATTAGCGGGGCGGCTGGGGTTTGGGGGGCGGGGGGACAGAGGGGAGACGACAACACAGTGAGAAAGGAACACTCAGCTCAAGCCACAGTATAGCTCGTGATCGATCGGTTCAACTCCGATAGTATTTATGGTAGCCGCCGGCTGGGGCCCTAGCTCTGCTGGTGTGCTGCCCCCTAGCTTTGCACCTACCCCCCGACTCCCGGCCTCCCTCCTCCCGCCTTCCAGCCCCTTCACCTGCTCACACCACCTGTGAGGCCCTCTGAGGCCTGGAGGGGAAGAACGAGAGGCCAGGTCCCAAAGGGAGCAAAAACCTTAACAAGGTCGACACCCCCTGCACTTCCTTGTCTGCACATGTGTAACTGACAGTCTGCCCTCCAGCTCTTTGGGGCACGTCATGGCCACCCTCCCTGGCACTGCATGCGATAAGATGCTAGCTGCCCCCTCCCCACCCTGGGCATCCCTTGTCTCTTCCTCCCAGACCCAGTTCCTCTCTTTCCTCTATCTCCTGCCTACTCATCACCCTGGGACGCTCCAGACCCACCTGGTCCTCTCCTTCCCCTACGGAAGGGGGGCCAGGGGGCAGCAAGCTTAGCTGGGACCAGCAGGGTGGGGGTGGGTGACCCACGCTTCCCCTCCCCCCTTCCCAAATAAAGATGAGGGTACTAAAGTTGTCTTGGTTTTTATTACTGGTTTTTGTTTTTTCCTTTTTCCAGTACACTAGCTTGTCTTTTAAGAAGGAATATTAAAAAAAAAAAAATGTTTTGAAAAAAAGCAACACCCACACCTGTGTCTGTATATAGCCTTTTAGACTGTCGGCTTTCTTTTTTGTGTGTTCAGTCATTCGGTCTTTGCGGAGAGGAGTGGAGATGCTGTATAGAGGGTGGGCTTAGCTGTGCCTTTCAAATAAAGACGTGAGAAGGTTGGTGGCTGTGTTCCTGCCTCTCTGTTGTGGGCTGCTGCGTAGTACCCCCCATTCCCAGGGGAGGGGGGGACTTCCTTTGAGTCCGAGTCACTGTCCCTTGTGTCCTGCAGGATGGGAGATTGGGTCCAAGGTGAGTCAGGAATTGCACCTTTGTGCATAGTCCCAACACCTGAACTTGATGCTTAGCCCAGAGAGGGCAGTTGGTGGCTTTTAAGTTGCACAGCATGGCCATGAGGTTGAGCCAGCTGCTTTGACAGGTGGGATAAAGGGCTTCCCAGGGGTCCCAGAGCTAGTAAGTGGGGGAGTTAGTTGCTGAGCCCCAGACCACAAAGCTCCTGAACTACATGTTTCTTAGAAATCAGAGATCAGTCTAGTCATACCTCGTGCACACACATACACCGTTTGCATAGGTCAAAGACTGGGTCCCCCACAGGGGTGTTCATTGTCCAAGGAACACCCAGAAGGCCCCACCTCCAACACCCCCTGGGGAAGCTAGAAGGAAAGGAGACCCCTAGCCCTCAGATCTTGGCCTTAACCTTTTGCTGCTCTGGGACTTGGGATGAGACCTTGGGGCCGCCCAACCAGGAAGGGAGCGCTGGGAGTCCCAGGTGGTGCAGACTAACTAGAGGAGCCTGGGAGGAGAGGCCTGGCAATCAATTTACAGAGAATCAACCTTTGAAAACTCCGATCGTAATAGTCAGATCTGAAACTGCTCCTGGAGACAGCAAGCGCAGGCAGCATTTCCTGCTATTGTACATGGGTCCGTAAACAACAACCAAGGCGTCCCCCACACATCATGTTGGACAAAAGGAGCAGGCACAGAGAGGAAATGCTGTGTGACTCCATTTATAGCCAGACTGCAAAGAAACCTCGGCTTACTATCTGGGGGCTTACTATCTGGGGGATGTCGTGGGAGTCACACCCTGAAACTTGAAAGGAACCAGAGGGGGCACGGAGGCAGCCTGGGGGGGGGCAAGTCCTGCTGTGGTGCTTGACCTGGGGGCCGGGCCCACCTTCACTTCGTGGTCATTCACCAGTGGTTTGGTCACAATTGATGCGTTCTTCTGTATGTGTGCTACACTTCACAATTAGGAAAGTTCTAGAAACTGGAGTACCCTTGGCTCGCATGGTGCATTCTGAATTCCTTCACCTGGGCCCAGGACTCCTTACAATCACCCCCGTTCAGCAGCCAACTTCAGCATTTTGTGATCTGTTGCCTCAGGGCCTCTGCACAAGCTTCCCAGTCCCACCCCACCTGGAACAGAGTTGTTTTTTTTTCTCTCTCCTGTGTTTTAACCCTTCCAGACTTCCCTGTCTCAGGGTATCTCCCTTCTGTCCTTCCTTCAAACGGGGGTTCCAAAACACCCCGCTAAATCAAAGCAAACCTGTTGCCATCAAGTTGACTCCCAACGACTCCAACTCCCAGCAGCCCTGTGTGTGAAGCAGAGCCATGCTGCCTAGGTTTTAGCTGGTCCATAGCTGTGATCTTTTGGAACCATAACTGCCAGGCCTTTCTTCTGAGGTGCCTCGGAATGCGTTCAAACCACCAACCTTTTGGTTAATAGTCAAGCGTTTAACCATTTGCACTATGCAAGGACTCTGACATCCACCCGTCCCCAACCCGCCATCAATTCCCAGAGTCTGAAGGAAACAGCAGCCCTTATCGATGCATGGTCACAGAACTGTTACAATTATAGGGTGTCCTGACTGGGTTTAAATCCTGGTCCATCCTCTCATAACTGCATAATCTAGGCAAGTAGTTTAGGCTTCCTCGCTCTAGGCCTCAGTTTCCTTATCTATAAAATGGGTATAACCACAAAACCAAGCCTTGTTAGAAATGACCTATCATTTTAATCCCCGGAAAGTGCTTGTAACAGAGCCCAGCCCCTTCATTCAACAAACTGAGTGGGTACACACTATGAGAAACACATCAGGGAACAAAATACACGGATGCCTGCCCTCAGAGCTAAGGTCAGGAGCCCTGGTGGCACAACAGTTAGGCACTCTGCTGCTAACAGAAAGGTCGAGGGGGGGAATCCACCAGCAGCTCCATGGGAGAAAGACCATCTGTTCCCATAAAGGTAACATCCTAAAACACCCTGTGGGGCAGTTCTACTCCCTCACATGGGGTCACTATGAGTTGGAACCAACTCCCTACACCTCCACATGGCTGGAGTTAGACGGGAAAATAAATTCTTAAAATGTGTTCACGGAGGAGACTCGTGGGTGCATTGAGGACAGTAAGGCAGAGAAGGGGTGGGCGGGAGAGTAAGTTGCATCCTTTGCAATTCGCAGTAGAACGTTAGGGAATACACCAACAGCTCCCAGGGCAGATCTGGGTTCAAACCCGACCTCCCACCCTAATTACTGACTTGGGGCGAGTGAAGTCCTGAGGCTGACCTGAGTTTCCGGGAAACCGGTGAGAATGAGCAGAGATCCTGCAAAGGCCCCCTTACTGTCACTGTCGGCGCACATTATTTGACTACTTATTGTTGTTATAACCCGGGGGTGGGGTGGGGTTCTGCCTGCCATTACCTTGTCCTTGACCTCAGGGGTCTTCCTCTGGGTCTCGGGGTCCTTCAGGGAAGTGGAGGGGGCACACAGAGACGCACACATCCGTAGGACCCCTCCCCTTCGCCCTGGGATCAGTCCCAGGAGGGGTCAGGGTTGGGTCTAGGAGCTGCCGGGGGCGGAGTGACAAGAAGGTCCTAGGGGAGTGTGGTCGGGCTGGGAAGCCGAGGCTGGCGGAGGCGCCGTCCCCAGCCCCCTCCCCGCCGCGGCCTCCCGGCGCTTAACGACTCCGCCGCCAGCGACCTCGGCTAATTGATCCGCTAATGGGCCCCGCGCTGCGGCCGCGCCTAATGAGGCGGGAGG